CAAAGGCTGGGCACATATGTTGGCAAATCTATGCATGCATACATACACTCACAGACTGACAGTTAGAATGTCTGCCTTGTTCCCAAAAATTGCAGCAAGGAAGGGGGAGGAGAAACAATGGCAGGAAACTTGGACATTCTATCCTTTTCATTGTTCCATGCGCCTTTCCTCTTCCCTTTTCCTTTCCTCTTGCCTCTTTCCCTTCCTTGTGCTTCTTTCCTTTTACTGTCTCGTTGTTCTTGACATTTCCAATATTTGTGTTTTTTTGTTTCCTGTTCCTTTTTTTTCTTTCTCCTTTGTTTTGTGTCCGTTCCTTTTGTCCTTTTCTGTTTCCTTTCCTCCTCCTTCTCCTTTCTGCTGCCATGTCCCATTCTTAGCAGTTTTGCCCTGTTCCTGTTCCTCTTCCTTGTGCTTTCCATTTCCTTTTTCTGCCATTGAATTGTTTCCTCTTCCTTTTTCCTCCTCCTTGTCCTGTCCTTTTGCTTGTCTACTCTGTAGGTTTGCAGTTTGCAGCGTGCAAAGGCTGGGCACGTATGTTATCTGCGTGCATCCACACACTCACAGACTGACAGTTAGAATGCCTGTCTTGATCCCAAAAATTGCAACAAGGAAGGGAGGGAGGAGAAACAATGACAGGAAAATTGGACAGTCTACCCTTTTCATTGTTCCATTTGCCTTTCCTCTTCCTTCTTCCTTTCCTCCTGCTTCTTTCCTTTCCTTTGCATCTTTTCTTTTGCTGTCTCATTGTTCTTTTGCTTTGCCCTGTTCTTTTGTTTTTCTATTCTGTAGGTTTGCAGTTTGCAGCGCGCAAAGGCGGGGCACATATCTTGCATGCGCACACACACATATAGAAATGCGTACTGATGTGAATGCCGCTCGCCGCACACCAGCCTAAGAAACCAAATTCCTGAAAAGTCAGGTATGAGGAGGCCTGATCATCTCTAGTCGTTAGGAGGCCAGAGGTCCAAAGTGCAATTCCAAAGCTCAAGTCATGAAAGTTGCAGCCAGGTTCAAAAACGGCAGCCGCGGACCGACAAGGACGACGAACCCGTGCAGAATCCAAAGTAAAGCCCTATGCGTGACTGCCAAGAAGATGAGGGTAACAGCTTGTGAACATCACAACTAAGTAGGTACATGGAGGTGATCAATCTCCGCTTCCCCCATCGTGGAGCAGCTTCGTTGGCACAGGTATCCACGATGGGCCTGTGCCCCCTGCTGAAAAAGGAAGCAATCCAAAAGGAACCTTGTGACTCCAAAGGTTACACATACACGCCTCCGCGAGGGGAGGCGTTCCTTTTCAATTAAGCTCCGGACGAGGGTAAGGTTGGGTGAAAATTGAACCTATGAGAAGCGGTGAATCTCAATGGCGTCGAGTCGAAGGAGCAGGAGTTGTTGGAGCCGGAGAGCGGTGGTCCCGTGGAGAATGGCTGCGGGAGGAGCGGGGATAGGTGGGGGAGGAATCGTCGCTCGAAGGTCCCGACAGACTCCAACGAGTCTTGAACAAGCTTCGGCCGCTGCGGCCACGTATTCCGTGCCAAAATGGCTGGCAATTTGACCGCTGCGACCACGTAAAGGCATAAGCCAGCTTAGAATTCAATAGTTCGTCAAGTCTTGGCAAATGACTTTGGCCTAGGCCACCTACGTCGCTGCGAGCTGCTTTGTATCCGGGCAGGGGATACGTTCGACTAACCCCCGTTCGACGGATGCGCGCTGATGTGAATGCCGCTCGCCACACGGCAGCCTAAGAAACCAAATTCCTGAAAAGTCAGGTATGAGGAGGCCTGATCATCTCTAGTCGTTAGGAGGCCAGAGGTCCAAAGTGCAATTCCAAAGCTCAAGTCACGAAAGTTGCAGCCAGGTTCAAAAACGACGGTCGCGAACCGACAGGGACGACGAACCCGTGCAGAATCCAAAGTAAAGCCCTATGCGCGACTGCCAAAAAGATGAGGGTAACAGCTTGTGAACATCGCAACTAAGCAGGTACACGGAGGTGATCAATCTCCGCTTCCCCCATCGTGGAACAGCTTCTGTTGTTGGCGCAGGTGTCCACGATGGGCCTGCGCCCCAAAAGGAACCTTGTGACTCCAAAGGTTAAACACACACGCACTTATATACTGAGTACTGATTTGGTTGCGGTTTGCCACACGCCGGCCTGAGTTAAAACCTGAGATGCCAGGAGGACAAGAAGTTAAAGGCCATCGCCTTTAGGTTGGAGGCCATCGCAAGGAAGTTGGAGGCCAACGCCTAAGGTTGGAGGCCGTCGCTAGTAGGTGGTACGTAGTATGCGCAAGCAAGACAAAAGTGACAAGTAGTAAGTTAAAGGCCATCGCTTTGAGGTGGGAGGCCGTTGCAAGGAAGTTGGAGGCCAAAGCCTAAGGTTGGAGGCCGTCGCTAGTAGGTGGTAGGTAGTGTGCGCAAGCAAAAAAAAGTGACAAGTAGTAAGTTAAAGGCCATTGTTTTTTGGTTGGAGGCCATCGCAAGGAAGTTGGGGCCAACACCTAAGGTTGGAGGCCTTCGCTAGTAGGTGGTAGGTAGTATGGACAAGCAAAACAAAAGTGACGAGTAGCAAGTTAAAGGCCATCGCTTTTGGGTTGGAAGCCATCGCAAGGAGGTTAGAGGCCAACGCCAAAGGTTGGGGGTGGTAAGTAGTATGCGCAAGCAAAACAAAAGTGACAGCAGCAGGTGAAGTTTGCGTCCAAACTTCCACCCAGTCGATTTCCATAGCCTCATTGGCGCGACTAGGAAATCGACCGTCGCACCCCCTGCTGTAAAGGGTAACAATCGAAAAGGAACCTTGTGATTCCAAAGGTTACACACGCGCGCGCACACGCTCACAGACTGGCAGTTAGAATGATGGTCTCGATCCCACAAACTGCAGCAAGGAAGGGGGGAGGAGAAACAAGGACACGAAAATGAGACATTCTATCCTTTTCATTTTTGCTTCTCGCCTTTTCCTGTCTCACTCTTGACATTTCCTTTATCTGATTCCTGATCCTGTTCCTTTTCTTTTCTCCTTTGTTTTGTGTTCTTTCCTTTTTTCTTTTTCTGTTTCCTTTCACCCTCCTTCTCCTTTCTGCTGCCATGTCCCATTCCTTTTCTTGTTCCTCGCTCGTCCTTTTTCCTTTTCCTCGTCCTTGTGCTTTCCTTTTACCTTTTACTACATTTGTTCCTGTTCCTTTTTCCTCTTCCTTGTCCTTTCCTTTTGTTTGTCTATCCTGTAGGTTTGCAGTTTGGAGCACGCAAGGGCTGGGCTGGGCACATTTCCTGTTTCCAAATCTATGCATGCGTACACCCTCTCACTCACAGACTGACAGTTAGAATGCCTGTCTTGACCCCATAAACGGCAGCGCAATGAAGCATCTTAATCCTTTTCATTGTTACATTTACCTTTCCTCTTCGTCTTCCTTGTCCTTTCCTTTCGCTTCTTGCAGATTCCTGTTTCATTGTTCTTTTCTTGTCCTATTCTTTTGCCTTAATCTGTTTCCTGTTCAACTGTTCCCTTTTCTCGTCCTTCCCTCTTTCCTGTGTTCTTTCCTTTTCTTTTTCGGTTTCCATTCCCATTCCTTCTCCTTTCTGCTGCTATGTCCCGTTCTTAGCCATTTTGTCCTTTTCCTTGTCCTTTTCTTTTTTGCATTTTTCTACCATGTCTTCATGTTCCTTGATCCTCTTCCTTGTCCTTTACTTCTGTTTGTCTATTCTGGAGGTTTGCAAATATAGCATGGACAAACACACTCACAGACTGACAGTTTGAACGCCAGTCTTGAACACCAAAATTCCAACAAGGAAGGGAGGGAGGAGAAACAATTCCATGACATGTGCCCTTTCCTCTTCCTTTTTCCATTCCTCTTGCCTCTTTCCTTTCTTTTGCCTTTGTTTCCTTCCTGTTCCTCTAAGAGCATCCGGTCCTTTTCATTGTTGCGCATTTTGCCTTTCCTCTTCCTCTTTCTTTTCTTGTCCTTTTGCCTCTTTTCTTTTCCTGTCTCATTGTTCTTTTTCCTTTCCACTTTATTCTGTGTCCTGTCCTCTTTTCCTTTTCCTTTCTCCTTCCTTCTGCTTTCTGCTGCCATGTCCCGGTTTTAGCCATTGTTGCCTCCTTGTTTCTCTTCCTTGTCCTCTCATTTTATGCGCCTTTCCTTTCCTATTCCTTGTGCCTGTATCCTTTTCCGTGTCCTGTTCCTTTCCCTTTCCTCTTTTGTTTCCTCTCCAGTGTTTTTTCCTTTCTGCGTCCATGTCTTGTTCTTTACCATTTGTTTTCGGTTCCTTTTTCCTCTTCCTTGTCCTTTCCTTTTGTTTGTCTATTCTGTAACAGCTGTGGCATTCAACGTGTGCTCTCTCTTTTTTTTAATCTTTGGCTGCATTCTATCTTCCAAGAAATCCTGGTGTTTACCTGCAGTTTTGAGATTTGTCAACATTCACACTCTGGACCCAGCATTCTAACTGGTAAGCCCTAGCATTCTAACTGTTCATTTCTCTTGACTGACAAAGTCCTGGGCACAGCATTCTATCTTACTATGGAAAATCTTGAAAAACAGGCATTTTATCTTACAGTCCGCCGGTATAATTTCTTTGATTCAATTTGTGGAAGAAGAGCTCCCCAGCTGCTAACTAAAGTAGAGGCCAAGACTTTGTGGGGGATTTTTTTTCTTCCACTTGTGCTTTGCTTCTGCTTTTGCTTCCCTTCTGCAATTGCTTTTGCTTTTGCTGTTGTTTGCATTTGTTTTTGCTTGTCTTGCTTGTCTGTGCTGCTTGCAGTGGCCACTCTCATAAACAAGCTCCAAGCCAAGCCCCAAGGAATCCTACAGAAGTGACATGCACAGCCAAACCCTACAAAAGTAAAACCCGAAGCCACGCCTAAAGAAACCCCAATGTTTCCTCTCCTTTCCTCTCTGCTTCTTCTCCCTTGCATTGTTATTTTTTTCCTTCTCCCCTGTCTCTCCCTCTCCCTGTCCAAACCACAAAAATAGTCACCCTTCGTGGAAGTGTAATATTTCTTTGTGCAGGCTATATCCTCGACGGTGGCCCTGGCAAAGGGGCATTGCATCACGTCACATGCCCTTTACAGTGCCTGAGCACAGAGGCTCAGCTGATACTTTCGAGATATCAATGATAACAGTACAATGGGGCATTCTTGGATGGAGCTTTCTGATTTTGTTTGTGTATCAGATTGGCTTCTAACCACTTGAAATCCACGAAAAAGGCAGTGCAATCTAAATCTAATGTATATAAATATACCGCCCCCGAGTTTCTGCCAAGGACATTCTGAACGAAGCCTGGTCAGAAGATGGAATGATGACAGCAAGAAAGGAACGCAGTACTCCCAGATCTATGTGGGTGTGCTCACTGCCGCCTGCCCAAAGCTGATCAGTTCAATGCCTTGGTGGAACATTTTGAGAAGGTTCAAAACCTGGGGTTAAAGGGCTTACGACAGTGACAGTGAAGGGTCCGATCAAATCGATCACATAGTTTGAATATGTTTAAATCCGTCCTTTCCATGGGTGGGAATCAGCTCAACGACCTTATGTACTCTTAGTCTTGGTAGGCAGACCGATGTGCATTTATGGGTTTGCCTCCATTGGGTGTTGCGGCTCCATATTTTTGTTTGATTGAACAGACTTGCAGTTAGTCGCCTGGAATTTGAGGTTGGCTTGCAGCATCTTGTCTTGATTTGAAGCGAAGAACTTCACAAGCATGTGCTCTGAGGGGTGTGTTGGATTTGCGAGGTCACAAGGTCTCAGAGTTGTTGGCCCCCAACGGCGAGAGCTTAGGGTGAATGGTGGGAACAGAACAGGTTTTGCACGAGGTTGCAAAGGAGGTTTCGGAGGTGGCCAGTATATGTTCAATTCGCCATGCAGTGTTCAATTCGCCATGCAGTTCGTTTTACAGAGCAGCACAGAGCATAGCTTCTTTGGTGTAAGTACAACCCGACACTCTCTCTTGTACCACTCCGCCTTTGTTGCCATAGATGTGAAAGACATGGTGTATACGCGTGTGTAGCCACTCACTCACAGCTGCATTTCTGCAAAACATCAAGGATTAGGGTAACGCAACAACAAAACGTTTCTGCTGTCGGCCTGTTGGGTTTTTGTAGCACCTTGCGTTCAGCATGCAAAAGAAGCCAAAGACAATTTTTGGTATAGGAAGCAATGAAGGAAGCAAGATGCAGAGACTGGAGTGCAGGTCAGCAAGTGGGGCAAATATGGAGGATGTAGGACCTTGTGAAAGATCCACTACTGCCATGTTCATGACCTGACACGTTGTCCTTTGCAGACGTACTACACAGGTTCTTCTTTCTGATCTTCCTGTTCTTTGCAGAGTTTGATGCCAGCGAGGAAGGCGTAGCTTCAATGTGCAACAGCTTGGCCACTGATCTGATTCAAGAGAATCTGTGCTCCAATTGGAGGCTAGTAGCTAGCTTCAATAGCCCGCGTGCAATTCACAAGCAATTGGCTTCCTGACCTGAGGCCTATCACATACCAGGGCGTTACCGTGCGAAGTTGTATAACCACTAAGAGGTTCGGAAAGTAATTGTCCTTACTGTAGATACAAAGTCTGGAGATTTGTTTTTTCGTTACAAGTGCAAGCACAAGTACAAGTGTTTGTTTGTTTGTTTAATTGTTTGTTCGTTCGTTCGTTTGTACATTTCTTCGGGAGATCCAATCTCGGAGACCCCCAATGTTTTCTTGTTTTTTCGGAGACCCCCAACTAAATAAGCGTTGATCCTTCGTGGAACTTAGGCCTGGATTTCCATGGCAGTACTGGCAGGTCTCGCTTATTCGCGAAGCTTCCTGAAAGCGTATCATGGCTGCATGTAGAGCCCAAACAGAGCGGACAGGTTGTTACAAATTTTGGTTGCACAGACCAGCTATGCATTTTCCCCCTGAGGTATGGACTCGGAGCCGTGGGCTTTTCTTTGCTCATTCTGTGTGTGGCTGTACAGTGGTCCATGATTGTGGAAAGTCTTCTGCATGGAGAAGTCCTCCGCATTGGCTTTACAAGAATGATGCCTCTTGGTACAAATATTCGCGCAGTTGAACAGCAGTAGGACAGTAGGGTAGCAATTGGGAGGATGAGTGGTGGTGGTGGTGGTGGTGGTGATCGTCGTCGTCGTCGTAGTAGTAGTGGTAGTGGTAGTGGTAGTGGTAGTAGTGGTAGTAGTGGTAGTAGTGGTAGTAGTGGTAGTAGTGGTAGTAGTGGTGGTAGTGGTAGTGGTAGTGGTCGTGGTGGTGGTGGTGGTGGTGGTGGTAGTGGTAGTGGTAGCAGTAGCAGTAGCAGTAGCAGTAGCAGTAGCAGTAGCAGTAGCAGTAGCAGTAGGAGGAGTAGGAGGTCGTAGTAAGGAGGAGGAGGAGTAGGAGGAGGAGGGGTAGCAATGGTAAGGAGCAACTCTCGCTTTCTTTGCTGAAATTTCAAGAGCAAAGCGCTTCTTCTTTAAACTACTGGACTAGTATGCAAGAGGGTCTTGCCTGCAGAATGAAGATCCAGCGAGCTAGCTTGCCAAACGCTGCGCTTGGCTGACAAGAGAGTTGTTGCACAAGGCGTGGCTACTCCGCAGCAGCAGCAGTCTTGGTATCCTTCGGGGCGCTCATTGGCAAGGTGCAGACGCAGTTCGATGCTTTTTGTTGCCCAGAGTTGTCCAGACCCTCAAGGTACTAGACATATTCACTCTAGACACCAGTCTCTGTCATCCTTCTCCTTGCCTGCTATGTCCTCCAATAGAAGTTAATGCAGGGGCAGCTTGGAGACAATATAAAAGGTTTGCTTGAAATGCAAGTGATAGGGTTGAAACCTTGCACCATGTTCAAAATATATAGGACAAATACATAATTCGCCGGCAATATTTGGAGTCTGGAGTCGGATCAGCATTGGGGCGTAGAAGTAAATCTTCACTCCGGCGGCCAGGTGGATGCGTTGCAGATCTTGACGCTTGTCGTGATCGAGTTCCTTGGCTGCGAAGATGCGCCGTGTGGCGGAGGCGGAGGACATGCGGGGCCAATTCTGACCTTAAACTGATTGAACAGATTATAGACCCCAGACCCCAGATAGCAACTAGCTATAAAGGCAGAGGCGCCTGAGATAAACAATAGCATATATAATTTACAAACACGTCCATGGGAACTTCCAGTGAACTTGAGTTGGTCCAACAACACCTCTCCGTGAGCGGGTCCAGCAGCAACACATAAGTGCAAAGTCTCATTGGCTCATTGCTGCCATGCACTGACGCAATGTTTTTGGAATCTGATCATTGCAATGCTGCTCCTGGTTCTGATCATGACGATGTAGCGCCAACTTGAAAACCCAACCTTTTGTTGAGTTGTTGGTCTGCCCTACTCGACACGCAGATCGCACGAGCAGACACGTGGGAAAACAACGAGAGGGGAGTGAAGAGAAAAGTACGGGGAGACTTGTAAGGGGGCACATGGGGAGAGAAGTGAGGAGACAAGGGAGCAGTGGAAGCAAGGAGATAGATAAGGCAGCGCCGGCAAGCAAAACGCCGATCACACGCGCTAACAACCGGGAGACATGTAAGGCAAGGAGACCAATGGGGCGACACGCAAGGAGACATTGCAGCAGCAACAGCAGCAGCAAACCAAACGCCGATCACACAGGCCGACAAGTGGGGACACAGGTAAGGAGATAGGCAGCAGGGGAAAACAACATGAGACATAGCCAGACAACCAGGGAGATTGGGGAGAGAAGGCAGCAGCGGCAGCGTCGATCAGAAGGAGGAACCCCTTTGGCTTTCAGCTGGCTGAGGGGGAAAAAACATATATGTACTGAAGGACAGTGAGACAGGACTTGTGAAACGATGGGTGGAAAAAGACAACCTATGGCATTAGGACAGATCATGATGCCACTCCTTGTATCTCATCAGGCTAAAGCGTGCATTGTTGACCTGGTGCACACATTTATGTCGTCATATGTTGCAAATGTTGTCTTATAAATGTTCGAGATTGCATGCTTTCAGGATGTGTCGATTGAAGCTTTGATTGGTGATGTTTAATTCTTGGGCACGGCGCTCTATTTTATGTTTTGTGTCGTTATGTACTGGCAGAACGCCCACAATGCCCAGGATTCCTTGCTATTGCTGGAACAAAGTGGTATTCCTGCAGATGGATGGCCCCAAGATGCCAGTTGTCCCTCGGTGAAACCCAACGAGTGACAGAGGGTTGGCCGTTGAAGGGGGTTGGACTTGCTGTTGGTCCAAAGCCCTTTTGTCAAGCACGTTTTTTTTGCTTGGGAGTGATTACGCCGAGTCCAAGTCCATGTGTAGCTGGAGAGGGCGACGGGACCTTGCAGTTGAGCCACGTCCAAAACCTTGCGTAAGTCGAGCCAGCGCATCAGCATTGATTTTATAATTATATGTGGCACTTGGATGAGTTTTTGTGTGGTTAGAATACCCTCTTACACATTGTTTTCATCCATTTAGTGGACCTTTTTCCACTAGGTGTGGTTGGGATTCAGTTTGATTGATGACGATTGATTTTTGCGTGAGACGGAACTCTTGTTTTTCACCACCACTTCGGCAGGTTTTATTGAATTTTCTCCAGCTGCTTCCCATGTATTTTGCCAGCCGGCGTTGTTTCGCTTCGGCATGAAGTAGTTTCGTGGATTCACCGACTCCACAAGTGGTTTTGATAGTTCTACAAATCGGTCTGTGTCATTGCAATTGGTCCGCGCTTTTGCCTGAATCTTCAAAGGTGTCGTGTGATCTGGCAGAACAATGGGTGGCTGGACAAAGGTTAACCTTCCTCATTTGCTTGACTTTCATAGTTGAACCCAAACAAAGCTCTTTTGTAGTACTTTGGGCTCTTCCAGGTCCATGATGGCCGCGGTCTTTCGATTTTCTTATTTGGCTCGTTCTTCGGCTTTGCAGCGGGCAAGATGCTGGGTGTGAGCCAAATGGGCTGGTTGAACCGCAGCCAACGGAGCACAGTATCCTGGACATAAACGGGCTTTGGTGCCATGGGCCAGGATGGGCCGTTTAAGTTTTTTGATCTTTCAAAAACACAGAGCCAGCAAGAGCTTTTTAGAGGCCTGCAAGGTGCATGGAGTACTTGATCTGCCTGCTGCCATTCTTGGCTCGCCCCTCACTTACAGCATCCCAGATGCATAAAGAAACCACGTAGTGTACAACTTTGCGACCTGTGCCCATTAGTGTACTCGTTCCCCAGTGTTTGCACTAGGATCAAGAAATAACCAACTTGCTGACCAATCACTAAGATGAAAAGTATGGAGTTTCGTTAAAGGCATACTAATAGCTAACAGAAAACTGGCTTCATCGGATGTCCATGTATGCTGTGGAACGTAGTGTGGTATAGGCTAGGGAAAAATGAAATCGTCAACTTTTCGGCACAGTTTCCCTTTCGATTTCATGCAACATCTTCATTTTTCCCGAGAGCGCCTGCGAAGGGTTCTTCGTAAAAAACATCTGCAGAACTACGTCTCATCTACATCTTCACATCTTCACCTCTGCACATCCACATTCTCACCTATATCTCTGCTCATCTTCACATCTACATTCACAACTGCACATCTACATCTCTGCACATCTTCACATCCTCACATCGACATCTCTGCTCATCTTCATCTTCACACATCTACATCTCTGCTCATGTTCACATCTGCACATCTACATCTCTGCTCATCTTCACATCCTCACATCTACATCTCACATCTTTACCTCTCATCTACATCTCACATCTTCACCTCTCGCTCTTCTTAACTTTCTCTCTTAAGGCCGGGGGCAGTGCCGCTGGACCGCCACGAAACGCAACCCTCTGCGGAGATCGTGCGCTTCGGATGCGCGAAATGCAGGCGAGAGTGCGATTTGTCCCTGTCCGTCGCAACCCTCTGCGGAGATCGTGCGTGTCGAATGCGCGAAATGCAGGCGAGAGTGCGATTTGTCCCGGTCCGGCGCAACCCTTTGCGGAGATCGTGCGTGTCGAATGCGCGAAATGCAGGCGAGAGTGCGATTTGGTTTTGTCCGGCGCAGCCCTCTGCGGAGATCGTGCGTGTCGGATGCGCGAAGTGCAGGCGAGAGTGCGATTTGGTTTTTTCCGTGCGTGTCGAGGGCGCGAAATGCAGGCGAGAGTGCGATTTGGCTTTGTCGCGGGCAACCCTCTGCGGAGATCGTGCGTGTCGAGTGCGCGAAATGCAGGCGAGAGATGGCGAGAGTGCGATGTGGCTTTGTCGCGGGCAACCCGCTGCGGAGATCGTCAGTGTCGACTTTGTAGTGCAACTTTAGTGCGCGGAGCAATCTGTGGAGCTGGAAGCTGAGATGGCGACTGACTTTGTAGTACAACTTGAGTACGCGGAGTATCTGGTGAGCTGGAAGATGAGAACTGGCGACTTTCTAGTACATCTGGGGAGCTGGAAGATGAGAACTGGCGACTTTGTAGTACAACTTTAGTACGCGGAGCAATCTGTGGAGCTGCAAGCTGAGAACTGGCGACTTTGTAGTACAACTTGAGTACGCGGAGTATCTGGCGAGCTGGAAGATGAGAACTGGCGACTTTGTAGTACAACTTTAGTACGCGGAGTATCTGGGGAGCTGGAAGATGAGAACTGGCGACTTT